AGCCGATATTTTTAGCCACCCAACAGAGGCTATCACTATGGGTGTCCATCTGGGCCGGTGCGGGCCGTGCAAAAAGCCCTACCCGGACCCGAACCCAGACCCGACCAGTTCTGGGCCGAGCATTGGGCTGGTCTAAGGATGGCAACTGGGCTGGGTTGGGCCGTAACCCACACTGAACCAGCCTATTCTGGATCGGGTTTGATCGGTCGGTTAGCATACGAGCTGGATATGGATTTGTTTCTAAAACCCATGTCCGAACTCAAGCCCGGCTCACAAACTTAACCCAGCTCGAAACAAACCTAGGCCTGGATCAAGCCCGCACCCAAACCCCGTAGTGACATTAGTTATTAATAACCACATTAGCTATTAGTGATTAATTAATTATTAGTAACTATTTAGTAATCATAAAAGTTAATAATAATATTCCCATTAAAAACACGAGTTCGAGAAAAACTTTTCATGGTCAATATTACCCTTCATTATATTGAACATTTCATTTAAATCTTAATCTATCCTAATACTAAGTATATCATATATTAATCTCACGTGAACTACATATAGCTCAGTAATTAAAAAAAAAGATTAACAAAATACATGAAACAACTACTTAAAAATAATATTAAAAAAATACATGAAATAGCTCCACTGTATTAGTAAAAAAATAAGATTAATAAACTACATGAAATAGCTTCACGGTATTAGTTTGGTTGGTAAATAAATACATAGCTAACATACTATAACATATGAAGTACTAAAAAAACCCAAAAAACTTCAAAAACTGCACAAATTACCCTCAAAGTTCAAAAGCATACAAAACACCCCAAATTTTCAAAACTTAAAATAACAAACATGAAATTTAAAAATTAAAAGTAGCCCTCGAAGAATTTAAAATTTCTAATTATCACCCTTAATGTTTCAAAAATTATAGAAACACCTTTAAAAGTTCAGATTATAAAAGAGCATCTTGAAATTTTAAAATTTCAAAACTTATAAACAACATAATGAATTCAAGGAATTACAATCAGGCACCTGAAAATTTAAAATTTGTAAAAATAACTTGAAAGTTACAAATTTTATAAAAAAATCACTCAAAAGTTAAAAATCGCAAAAAAAACACTAAATTTCAAAACGCATAACCGGTACATACTAAGCCTGGAAATTATCAGTAGACCACTAAAATTTTGAATTTTGCAAAAGGCAACCTAAACTCTTATTAATTATATAAAACACACTCAAAATTTCAGAGATACAAAAAGTATTCTGACATTTGAAAACTTACCATCAATATATGAAACATGGAAATTACTAGCACCCTACTTAAAATTTAAAATTTTCTAAAAAAATACTCTCAAAATTTTTAAAAAAGTGCAATACACACCCTCAAAACTTTAAAATAAAAAAAGGACCTAATTTTCAAAACTTTAAAAAAAGAGTAACTGTTTGATATTCTTTCATTAAGATGTGTAAATTTACTTCAAATTAAGATTTACTATCCCTTTTCTGCATGTAACAGTAGTCTGAGTTGATGCTAGTAAAAAAATAACAATATCAATAAATTAAAAACATCCAATTAGGGAATAAAATTTTAAAAAATATATGATAGATTAAAAATTAACGCCATTGTATAAATTAAAGTAACTACTTATAATTTTACTAATAAGTTAGAGCAACAAAAATACATAAGTAACATTAATTGATAAAAGACTATGGAAAGATATCATCACAAGAAATCCAGCTTCCGCCCGATGTCATAAATGTAGACGATGAAGACACTGCTCTAGGATTGCCTAGGAAGAAGATAAATGTGGAGAAGGATTGACCTCGGCTCAATAAAAAAATAAAATAGAAAGAATAAAAGATAATATTTTCTAAATATTTTATAGAATAGTTTAATTTTTTGAGCAAGATTACAGAATCTTTAGAATGGATTTTGGTGAACATTTTTAGTACGTTTATATGTTTATATGGATGATTTTATCATATAAAAGTAAACTAGAGTTAACATTAATTTTTATTTTATGATCTTCTATGAAGTTTTATCAACAAACAAAAATAAACTCCATATTCTTTTTTTTTTATCATTTAGCCAACTTTTAATCAATCATTTTGGCTTTTAACGCTATTTTTTTCCAAGTGTACTTCACTTATGCACCGCTATGCTTTCTCGGGTCCAACTTGGTTTCATGTCAGTTCAAATAACATGAAAATTCAAATGGCTTCAGATTACATTTGTTTCATACTAATTCAATTATCAACATAAAAATTTAAATTTGGTGTAGCCCATTCAAACAAAGATAAAAAAATCACAATGTTAAAGTTTAGATACATAAGTGAGTAAAAACTATCAAAGTGGAACTGAGGGATAACTTTTAGTAAGGAATAAACTAAAAGTTCTTAATTATAGTATTTAACAACGTGCATTGTGCATGCATGAAACCTAGTATTGTTAAATGTGCATGTTTTCAAGCAAACATTTGGTAGGTTGAGTCTCAAAACTTCCTCAAGAAGCAACAAAATCCCAACTGCTTGGTCTGAATTCATTTAAAACAAGTTTTTAAACAAAGCTAAAAGAATAAAAAGAAAAAATAAAAACAAATTGAAAGGAATATAGTGGGTTGTGTTGACCAACCCAGCCTAACTTAGATGAGTTGAGTTCTACTCCCAACCCCGGACACCCAGGCTTTGGCTTGATCCATTGTCAATGTTAGCTTGGATCGACCTAGCCCATGTCAGCCTAAAGCCGATGGTCCTGGGCCTGGGTTAGCCCAGCCCGGCCCAGTCGCTAGGCGTAGGTCAGCTCGATTTTTTTAACCTTTTTGTTGCTTTTTTTCCCCTCAAAAAATTTGTAAATTTTTGTAAAAAATGACTAAGAACGTTTGCAAAAAACATAAAACTATTATAAGTATATGCCTACATATAAGTATATAACTATATATTATATATACAAGCACATATTCACACCTCAAAAAATTTGTAAATTTTTGTAAAAAATGACTAAGAACTTTTGCAAAAAATATGTAACTTATAACTATATATAAGT